ACACATCGTCTTCTAAACCCATTATTGTTTTCACCAGCGGTGTTAGATGGGCTCATTGCCTTAATCTAAGTCACAAGCTTAAAAAAAAAAAAAAAAAAAAGTCACAAGCTTCACTTCTGTCAGAGTCTGATCCCCAGACCACGAGACGTTGAGTGGGATATGAGAGCCATTGCAAATGGGGAGCAAGGAATGCATGCCAGGTAAATGTCTTCTCTGGTTTTTGACCTGCAACCACTTTTCTCACTAACTGAAGGAAATACTGACATATGTGTCTCATGTAAGCTTTTTTATTATGCCATTCTTTTTTACAGTGTAAAATTGGAATTCCTCTCAATGACTGCCAGTAAAATAATGATTGGCTAATCTGTGATAAAACCACAGAATGGATTAGCATGCCTTGTATGCAAATGTTAAAAAGAATGAATTGGATTTACATGGTTTGAAATGGAAAGATCTGCACTACCAAAATGAAAAATGTGAGTTCTAGGCAATATCTACAGTTTGATAATAGTTACAAAAAAAGCAAACAAAACATTTCTGTATGTCCATATAGATATTTATATGCATTTAAAAAATATCTAGAAGGATATCCACCTAACTGGCAACAATGGTCATGTCAGAGAAGGGGTTTGGATAATAATGATCGATTATGGGGACTTTTGCTTTATTTGTGGTTTTTGGCTATTATTTATGAGAATACAGTTGAGTAGTTATTTGTAAAAGTAAAAAATGATAAAGCACTTAGTTTCATGTCTGTAATATAAGGAGTATTTGGCAAATGCTAGGTATTATTATTATCATTATTAAGGACAGGTGGGCACTTCCCAAATCAGATTTCTGCCAATGTATACGTGTAAGAGTAGGGAAAACAGTGCTTGGCAAGAGGGCCAGGCAACTGCATTACATATATGTGTTATGTTTACATGTGTGGATGTAAATGCACAGTTCAAGTAGAGAAAGTCCCTCACCTAGTTGGTAACTGTGATTACCACTGTGTCAGGGCAGGTAGAGTAGAAGGGAGAGAAAGGTGGCCTCTAGTTTCAATCCCCCTATTGTATTCTTTTAATTTTTAAAAAATATACATTATTTTGGTACCATTTGAAATAAGCAAACTTATATTTTTGTAATCCCTTGTTTGCTTCTATAACCTATATCCTCATTTACTTAAAAACTAATCTCAGCAAGGAAGAGCAATGTGCAAAAGCATTAATTTGAGCCCTGTTTGCGTTCCTCTATTTCAGGCTATTAAAGGAGAATGAGGATTGTTTGTCAAATTGGGACCAGCTGGGATTCTTTGGCTGGCTCCCAGACGTGACTGTGAAGAAGCGGATATTGGGTGCTCTCCCACCTCGTCAGGAGCAGCGTTCTCCTGCCTGCTCTTGGCACCCCCTAGGATCCTGTGCCCTGCTAAGGTGTTAACTGACAACTGACAGATTTTACTAAGAGCCTACTCTTCCCAGTAGTATTTTCATTTCAAAAGTTGACTTAAAAACTTAAAAAAAAAAAAATCTTCTGACAGTCAAAGCATAGAGTTTTTTCACTACCGCTCATAAATATGATTACAACTCTCCCATCTTTAAGGCAAATAAGCAAATGCTTCCTTGACACCTGAGATTCCATTAGCTGCCATCCAGTGTTTATCAATTTTCCAGCAAAATTTTCAATGGAACAGTTCATTGTCTTTTCCACTAACCTCCCAAGCATTACAACTCTGATGTAATCTGGCTTTCATCTTCTCTCCTCAAATTGCTCTCTTACAGATCACCATCATTAAGATGTAATTGCCAATGCTAGGGACTTTTCTTCAATTTAATTCAGTACTCTCTAGGAGAGTGGTGTTGCCACATTTATTATAGTTTTTCATTTGACTGTTTGTCTCCCCATCTTGATGGCGAACTTCTTTGTGTCTGAGTCTCTGCCTCATCCATCTTCATCTCACTGTTGCCTTGCACAATGTTTAGCCCATGAGAGTGTTTACAATGTATTTGCTACCTGATATCTGCTGATGGACTGAATGCTTTGAAAGGCCCAGTGTTGGTCACCTAGTTGGGTTGAATAAAATGTGTGCAAAGGCACAGCAGGTAGTGGAAGTGTCAGATGGGGGAGGGATATTGAGCAGTTTAATTCATCCAGCACTCTTTCAGCAATACTTCCCGCCCACTCTATAGATTGGCTCTGATTACAAGAATTAGGAAGACATAAAGGTTCACCTCGGCTAGGCAGAAACCAGAACTCACTGAGGTTTGATGGAAAGAAAGGAGTGGCTCCATGAGAACTTTGGGTAAAGCATGGGGTGAGAGAGGAGGAAAGAGTTAAGCTATTATCAGTTATGCTAATAACCCCAAGGGCACAGGCCAGGCAATCTTCCATACTGTAAATACGTGTAAATATCTAAAGCAATGAAAATGAAGATGGCCTTTAGTCACTTTTAATGACATCTCTAAGGAAGTCCTGAGCTCTGCTGAAGAGATGGATACAGGATCTCAGCTTTGAACATGAGTTTTTAAAAAAACGTAGTAAAAAATATCACTTCTGAACATTCTCCCACCCCCCCATACATCTTTTTTAAATTGACCAGGTTCCTCTTGTTTTTGTCTTACTGTGGTGCAGATCCTTTTTTACAGGGTGCTGGGAAGGGCTAGTGAGTCAAGGAGAAGGGAGTAGACTTCCCTAGGTCTGCAGACAGGTGATAAATGAGCTAAGCTGCACTACAGCTAACTTTCCTTCTGCAGAACACCTCTGAAATTAGACAGCATAATTGTAAGCAGAGCCTGCTCTGACTGTAACAGAAATAAAACCATTGTAATAGAAATGTGTCATAAGATCAATGTCTTCCACTTCTAAAACAAACATCTTGGCTGTGCCTCTGTGTTTGTTTTGGCTTTAGAAACTGAGTCCTTTATCAAACAGTAGGAGGCTATTATCTGGTGATAATGTATTTTGATTCTATTGTTGTTATCCTAAAACTGGTTTCTTCTGGGCCCATCCTTCTGGTATGTTTGTTTAATGACATGTTTAAAAATCTTTGTAAGAGCTGTATTAAAATGACAGATATTTTATATTGCCAACATAAACCACAATCTCCAACGCTGATGATAAACTCCAGTTCTGGCCTTGGCTACTGTAGGCTTTGAAGCTCTTAGCTGCTTTTCAAATGTTGGCATAGTTGTCAATCATTCTGTATCATACTTATAGTTTGTGTGAGGAAGCCATTTGTTAAATTGCAGCCTCCTAGACTCAAAGAACATTTACCAAATGCTTTCAGATAAAATGCCATCTTATTCTGTAAAATACTGAGAAGCTCGCAAGGGGAAGAAATACCTGAGGGAAATAGCAAATTGCAGGAGAGAAAAATGCCATAACACATTTCTCTGTTCTCTATTGAACTTTTGATAAGAACTGAGAACAGCACTTAATTCCCTTCTTTTCTACGTGTGTTTGTGTTATTCATTTGACTAGATAAAGCTCTTTGGGGGCAGGGAACAGATACTGCTCTGTGGTCTCAGGGTTATAAAGGAATGGTCACCCTACATGGTGACTCACTGTAGTGACTCCCACAGCCTTTTCCTCATAGTCTACCATCTTTTCCTCTCCTTTTGAGAGACCCTACTCTTCTCTAAAGCTAGAAGCTCTTCTACATTATGAAAGAATAAATGGCAGAGATTGTGAAAACCCAATGAATTTTCCTTTTTTTTCTTCTTAAACTACTACCAGTCTCTTGCTCCAGAATTTTCTAGTACCTGGTCCCATCAGTCCCATTATATTTTCATAAATTCTCTTTGTACTTACCCTTCTCATCCTGTTATTTTAGTCAAATATGCAAAAGACACAGACTGAGGTTTCCCTCTGGAGTGCCAACTCAAATGTCTATCATTGTCACCTGTCTTTTACCCTATAGGACCCAAGTTAGTGGTTCCCAACCAGGGGATATCACAAGTGCACTAAGCAGTGTGTGCATCCTGAATAACTGATATATATAGCAATATGTAATACATCATAATACATCTCCTGCAATTTGGCTATTTCCCCTTGAGAGCTTGCCAGTATTTTACAGAAGAAGATGGCATTTTATATATAATATAAAATTATTTATTCATATGTCCTTTTCAAATGTGTGTTTGCAGTAGTTGAAATAATACATTACCAGTTAATTGCTTCTGTGTGCAAAAGTAGAAATTGCAAATCACCTTGCAACAGAGTTCTCTAATTACGGGAGGTTTTACTTGAGTGAGCCTTCTTAGTTAAGCAGTTGCTAGGCAAAAAAGTTCCATTGTCTTGGGAAAATCTTATACTAGAAACACTTTTGGCCCCTGGCCTCTTGGTTTTTAGAGTTAGTCTTTAGGAAGAAAGATGACCAGAAGCTAGGCTATTATTTGGGAGTGATAAGTGTGAGATCCCAACCTCTTATCCCTGAGATTAGAAGTTAGGGAAACCTACCTGGGTGGACAAAGGTGACTCAGTCCAACACTAGTTGGTGCTAAAGGACACCAAAAGCCCTAGAGAGGATATCACTATAAGAGAAATCGCTGGCAACCAGGTGTCAATATGGATCCAGGTGTTTTTATAGGAGATTAGAGCTAGAGCAGTATGTCTGAGCTAGGATGTACCTATAAGTCCTGCCACTCTTTGGGGAAGAATGATTGAATGTACCAGGAGTCTTGTTTGAGGAACCATGGAGGAAGCAGAACAGCAAGGGCATCACTGCAAACTACATTAGTGTCCCTTGTACCACAGAGGATGATTGTTCAATAGCAACCATTCAATAGCAATAGGCAGTGACCATGAACTGATAGGATTTTACAGTTATTGCTCTACTTGATGTTTCCAAGGAGGACTTGGTATCTTTTTTCCAAGTAAGATCTAGCACTATTAATAGGATTTAAGGAACTTTTGCTAATAGAAGCCCATGAAAATTTGACAGTTGAAAAAACAAAAGAATTATTTCTATGTTTGTATCCTGAGCTTATAAAGCAGGTAATGCTACTTGAATATGGATATTACCAAGAGTCCCAATACTCAACATTATTTAAACACATTACTGAATACATAGTAGCCTTTTGACATTTTGTATTTCATTAATCAGCAGATACCATGTAGGAGTTTGAGAGTTTTTCAGTATCAAAAAGGAATTCCCATTCTCACAAGGAATTACTGAATTAATAGGAAAAACAATCTTGGACTTCACGTGAGTTTTCCCCATTGTTCCTACTGATCAAAACTCTTAACACACACACATCAAAAAATGCTGTGCTTGATCGGAGGCAGTCATTAATGAAAGGTCTGGACTGCATTTTACTACTGGTGAAGAGAGAAATCCTGTTTGAAACAATCATTGGGAACTTGATAGTCTTTAGAGCCTTTGGAAAACAGAAAGAGGTTAACAGGTAGTAGGCAACAGTTCTGGAGGATAGAAGTCCAAGATCAAGGTGTTGGCAGGTTTGGTTTCCTCTGAGGTCTCTCTCCTTGGCTTGCAGGTGGCTTCCTCCTTTCTGTGTCCTCACATGGTCGTCCCTTGGTCTGAGTGTGCCTGTATCCTAATTTCCTCTTCTTACAAGGATACCAGTCATATTGGATTAGGGTCCATCCATATGACTTCATTTTGCCTTAATTACCTCTTGGAAGACCCTATCTTCAAATGTAATCACTTTCTGAGGTACTGGGAGTTAGGACTTCAACGGATGAATTTTGAGAATGGGAGACACAAGTCGGTCCATAACACCAGGTGAGACCGAGAGAGGTCCCCAAACGATGACTACAACAAGACCCCAGAATCCCCAGTTTATCCTCCTCTTGGGACTTGGTGCCAAGTAATAAGCTCCTAATAGCCCTAAAGTCCCTGAAATCCCAGCTGGTACTGCGTTGGGGTAGGGCTGTTCAGCTCCTGTTGGACAGTGATGGAAGAGGGAGCTAACTGGAGACTTAGTAGAGTCCCCGGCTCAGGCATACTGAGTTGGAACCAGAAACCAATTTTAATTTTGAAACACTTTTCGATGTCACGATCAGTTTCTTTTAGATGATCAATTTTCTATTTCAGATACGTAATTGGTTAAAATGGCCTTTCTTGGACTGGCTGAGTATTTCACACAATAATATTGTATATTTTCTTGCTAACTCAAAAAAAGACAAATAAATGTTAATGATAACCTACTCACATGTGTAGCCTGCTCGTACAGTCTCTATTTCCCCCTCGAGGCCTATTATAATGCTTCTTAAATATGTTTTGATTGATTCCGTTTTGGTTCACAGAGTTTTTGTAAAATATCTTCAGTTTTCCTCAGGCTGTGCCTAAATGTTTGTTGAGGATGGTCAAGTTAAACGAAAAGCAGAACTGACTCCATATATTTTGTTTTAATTCTGGTAGTCATGATCACGGTTAACTAGATTGAGTAGAGACACAATCGACATAGATTCATGAATTCATGCAAGAATCCCTTGCAAGAAAATGATTACACTTTTTCCCTTAACAGAAACAGCTGGTGTCAAGATGTGGATGGCTGAAGTTTTATTTGGATGACAGCGGTTGGTATAACAACTCTTCTGCTGCTTACATTTAAAATACCCCATATAGATGCCTGCTCCTGAGAGGATGGCAAGGCTGAGTCCTCCAATGGGAGCCTCAAACTCCACAGAGGCAGGAACACTGGAAAAGCCACCCTTCTTGGATTGAAAGGAGTCTGGGTTTTTCCTCTGATTTGAATCTTCCCATTATTTATCCATCTCTAAGATTTTAATAAAGAATATCATCATTTTTTCATCTTTACCAAAGGGATAATATGAGAAAATTGGCAAAAAAAACACATTGAAATGAAGGTTGAGTTAGACTTAATGAAGAACATTTCTTAAGCTATTGAATGCTTTTACTTTGGTTGTAGCTGAAAAAGTTTTCTTCTTATTTTAAGATTTTTGGGGAAATTTACTTTTACAAGGGATTAAGTAATTCCCTAGCTGGAATAAGAGCCTGAGGTATTAAAAGATAAAAGACCTTCTCTTCTGGATCCTTTATGGACCAGAAGAATGGGAGAATTCATGATGGTAATATAATTAGTGGCTATTTGCCATCTGCTATTTTTCATACATTATTTAACTTAGTTCTTACAATTCTCTACAAGGCCTATTCTTAGCTCAGTTTTCGACATTAAGAAAACTGAGGATCAGGGAGGTTAAATAATTTTCCCATGGTCACAGAGCTAATGTGGTGAATCAAGAGTTCGAACCCAGTATGTCTGGCTCCAAAACTAGTGCTTTTAATCATGCCCTTAACTATTGCACTATTTATAATGTCACAGCTTGCCTCCAAAATGTCTCTTTTAATCTAATTCTTCCTGGCGTTGATTACTTAAGAAATAGATAATGACGTGCCTTTAGCCTCCTTTGCCTACTCTTTTCACACTGTTTGGCTTCATAATCTATATAACTCACCAGAACTTGCTTTGTACCTGACTATTTGAAGAAGAGGAAACTGAGCAAAATACAAGGCTTAGAAACACCTGTTGAGAACCCAGTGTGCTTTGTCATTCATTTGTACCTTTATCTGTTACACATGACCACTTATCAGTCTCATTTAGAGCAGCTAATCTGCACAGTTTTTAAATATAAATATCCATTCCCTTAAGCAGCTGTTCTCTTCTTATTTTTTTAAATATAATACAATCTATCCAAGTAGATATTTCACAAGATAAAAAATATATCCATATCTAACTTTGTTTTAAAGTGGGTGTATTTTTTTAGTTTTCATGATGACAGGACAAAAAATAGCACTAGATTATGAAGTGGATTACAAGGAATCAAGATTGGAATTTAGCCACAGGTTTGTAAATCTTGTTGCTAATTTGTATGTATACGAAAAGGGCCAAGGCCATGAAAATTTGTAACTCGAAGATAGAGGCTGTTTATTCAATGATATTATTTACAAATAGTAACATTTCAATTAACTAGAAGGCTTGAAGGATGGAGGAGTGCTTATTAATGGACTCTCCTGTCAAGTTCAAGATTATCTATTAAGCTCTTTGCTTCAGTCTGATGATGCTATCATGAAACTTTTTGACTCTTCTCTTTTATGATTGATATCTTGGAGTATACTACACTAATTCTCTGAATAGCAAAGAGCACATGGATTTAAAAATTCAAGTGATATCAGTTTCCCAACAGAATAATATAAATGGAACATACAAAATATACCTGCTTTTTAAATATATCCCTTCCTTGGAAGTGCCTACTCCACTCAGTTCAAAATGAGTGGTCGGTGGTAAATTAAGTAAGGTGGTACAATATTTGCTGGCGGTATCATTAGTATTTTACATAGCTTTGGGTGACAACAGCTTATGGAGTTATCCTTTTTTAGTATATTTATTTTTAATAGTAACTTAACCCTGGAAGCAAAAGAGGGGCTCAGATCTTTAAAATTACAATAACTATATTATTAATACATACTTTCCACACTCAACCCACCTTAACTTATTTCTGCCATCACTTGTGAAATATTCTCTTCTGATGAAGAGTCAGGGGGAAGGAGTAACATCCTTCAATTATCTGTAATTACGAATGTTAAGATGAACTATTGATTGCTAATAAATGTAGATTTT